ACACTTCTGGACCTCCTTCCTATGTACACATGTTTTTGCTCTTTCCTCCCTTGGAGCAAAAATAACTGCCATTGTGCGAAGTACCTCCTTTTGAGAGCATGAAACTTTTCAGTAGATGTTCTATTTTTTGTGGTACTTCTTTCAAATAAAAGCTTATGCAATTTTGGGGGTTGAGGAATAGTAACAGGTAAAGGCAATATATATACATATATATATATATATAGAGAGAGAGAGACCAAAATATATAGACACTATTACATGTGTATGGATGCTTAACTATAGTACTGTAACCTGGGTTAGCACATAACTTGGTAAACTGTGATATCTTTATTCTTGCGGGACTCTGCAAGACGTAGCGGATAGTCTGGAATAATCCTCATTTTTCAGACTCGCCTCAGAAGTTTCCCAGCAATGTAAAGAAACCTGAATTTTTCTGCTTAGAGAAAGGGAGAAGCAAAATAAATAGCAGAGAATAGGTGGGGTGAATGAAAGGAGTTTAGGGTAACTGGGCAGGTTCAAGAGAGCATGAGGAGAGTTGGAGGGAAAGGGGGTAGGGTAGGGATGGGAGAAGAAGTATCTTCCTTTCTGCCTCTAAGTCTGCCTTGCCAAACCACCCAGTCTCCTGAGCGTGGGACTTGGAAGCACCCTTCTGCTTCTCTAGTGAAGTGATGTTTTTAAGGAAGGGGAAATAACTGGTTCTTTACACATAAATACTCAAGAACAAAAACAGTCACTTCTGTAAACCTGTGAATTAATGCTGTGCTTTTTTTTTTTAAAGGATAGTTTATTGAGAAAGACATTTTAATGTAATTATAAGCTATCAAGAAATGAGAAAGAATTTTGCATTTTGTATGCAGGCCTGAATAAATAAATCCTTTGAGAGACAGACAGAGCAAGTCACTTGGAATGCACCAGTCAACAGCAGAAATGTAAACACTCCAGCTACGGACTCTGCACTTGTATTTCAGTGTGTCACAGAACAAAACTGCTATTAATGCGGGCTAACTACTGCTCTTGTTGAATTCAGTAGTGAGCTCCTCACAAAATCCAGTTTAACTCACAAACCATGGATCAGAACCGCATTGTGTCTGCCACTCTGAAAGTGCAGGGAGGCAGGAACTTGCTGGAAAGGTGTCTCTGGTCTATCTTAAAATGAGGTGTATGAAGTTGGTTTGCAGAGCTGAGTAGATTTAGGTTAACAGCAAGTGAATAAAATGCTGAGTCCAACAGATCTTTGTCTCTGTGTTCCAACATGTTTATGAAACCTTATCTCATAGATAGGTAGATCTGCCATGTATTTATCTTCATCCAGTACCAGTCCTAATGAAATAGCATCCACTAAAACTGTTGCTTCGTAAATTATGATAATTATAGAAAGCCACGAGCAGAATGTTAGAGTCTTAGCTTTTAAAAAGTAGCAGGTTACTGGAAAAAAATGGGTAAAAATCAAACACCATTCAATTGGTTGTGCTGAAACTAGACACTCTGGCAGCTTTAAGGGAGAAGTACTAATTAGTTTGTGTGTAGAAACACAATAACTTCCTCATTATGTCTCTTGATGTTTCTCTTTGGTTTGGGGTGTTTGTTTGTTTGTGTGGGTTTTGTTTGGTTTTTGGGGTTTTTTTGTTGTTTTTGTCTTGATAAAATGAATGTCACCAAACCTGATAGTGTGATATTATAGTTGCTTTTATTTCTGGGTATAAAAATGTGTTTTATTTGTGAGGGGTGTGTAACAATGACCCCAAGAAGGAAAGCTTAATCACAGAGATATGTGAGATCTATCCTCCAAGAGGCTCAGCTCTCTGGAAGGCAGGTCTGACATGCAGGAATCTTTGTGCTGGTGAAATCTCTTGGCAAATAGAATATCCTTGACTATAGAAGGCTGCTTATGGCATTTTTAGTCTTACACTTTTTCTTTTGACTGAGCTTTGACACACCTCAAAAAGCAGCATAAGATACTGAGCTACATGCTGAAAATCCCTTGCCTTACTTTCTCCATTTTACATATTTCCTTCCATCTTTTACAGTTCCTTCTTATTTGATGTTGAGTAAATCACTCCTTTCTTTAGCTGCAGGGTTATTGTAGGGTCAAAGGAATTCTTCTAGGCTCTTGCCCTGTCTCATGATTGTGATGTACTGCAAATATGTTCCTTTGGTATGACAGAGATGTAGAACAGCATAGTCAGATCAAACTCTGAGCATTAGCTTCCTTATGTGTTTAAAAATAAAGGATAGCTATCAGTTTCATAAGGCAGATGAACCTTAATTGCTGAATGTTTATAGAAAGTTTTGAGATGGTCAGAGGCAAGGTCCTGTGTAAATGCAGTATTTTATTAAAATGTTTAATAAGCAGATTCTCTGACCCAACAGAGGGAACAAAGATGCCTGTCCACTCTTAATTTTCCCTACCCATAATTATTTCTACAGAACCTAAATTACATACTGTGCAGCTTTATTCTGTTTTCAGAGGATAATTATACTAGAAATTCCAGCCTTCTTTCTGTGGAGGGACCTCCTTCTCAGAAGCCACGCCTTGTAGCAGTCTGTTTTTTATTTGAAAAGGATTGAATTCCCATTTGTGTCAACAAGTTTTTATGGATTGCTTGCTTTCGAGAGAGAGATACAGGTAACATGGGAAGCCCTTATTCACAAATCATAATAGTTCAGTCTGGAAGATGTATTGGAAGCTGATGATACAGGAGTGGAAGCTTTTCTGCATGTGAAATCTGTTAGAGATTACTCATCATTTCATTGTCTGCTGTTGTAACTGAGGAGCCTGTCATTCCTGTTGTAGTCATCTGAACATCTCAGTGGTATCTCCATGCTGAGGAGAACTTGGACTTGGTTGCAAGTGAGGCAAGGCAGGATGCGAAACAGACAGTACCATTTGCTCTGTGTATGAGATTGGAGGCCTTTATGGTTATGTTTACATAAGCAATAAAGGAGTTTAATAAACTGAAAGCCAGGGTCTTAACATAAGGTTCGCAACCCACTTGTAATATACCAGGAGGGACAAGTTTTTCGTTCTCCAACATTAAAGACTGATGGACTCAGTATACTTTCAGTTTCCTAAGAGCAAGCTACTGTTTCAGAAATGTTCCAACTTAGTAATAATCTGATAGTCAGGCTTCACACTTTTTAAAATCTGCAAGTAGCAAAATTATGTTCCCATTCGAGTTACTTTAGTTAGAGGGTAGCAGCAAGGAAACTGAATTCTGTTTAAAAAAAAAATGCTGTTCAAGTCTTACTTCTGCTAGAAAAGTTTGTTTGTTTTTTATGTAGCTGTGGTGTACTCAAGGGTGGTTTTTTTCATCGTTGCATATGCAAAATCCAGACCTGCAGAACTGTTCCATGTGGTGAACAGTCCGCTGAACCCAGACTGTTTTGCCTGAGTAGCAGATTTCCATATACCTCATTATGGGTTTAGATTTTTGTGATTTATGTAGGCTCTGTTCCTTCAAAGGGATGTATGCCATAGACCTTTATACCTGCCAAAGTGATACCTTATCAAGTAGTGAGGAAAATACAAGGGCATGTCCTGTTGGAGAGTAAGATCCTCATTTTGCAGTGAAGAATGAACTTCCCATCTAGTTTAATCTTTCATGTAAACAGGAGGCCACAAAGTAACTTAGCTTTTGAAGCTGTTTAATTGTACCCAGTAAGGTTCTGGATGTTTAGTGAATGATGTAAGCCACAGTGTGTAATGCAAATTCATATCCCTTTTGATTGGTATAAGACTATAAGAAAGGTTTAGGTCAGTACTGCTAAAAGAAAGCAGCATGGACTTTAGCTGGTTCTTGCCTTTTACAACCAGATTCGAATAAAAAGTGCTAGCTCTTTCCACACCAAAGAAGTTATCATCCTTCGCAATAGCAGGTATGCTTCAGTCTTCTGTCCTACAATAAAGATAGTTGCTTAAGGTGCCTAAATACATCGCTGAAGTTGTCTTATTTCTGTGGTTTCCTAACATTCAGTGCATGGACAGAGTTAATATCTTAGTTCATATTGTTTCATTCTGGGCATGAACAAAATCATGGACTCAGGAGTATAATCAGAAAGCACTGGAGACTGGAGAGCACCTCTGGAAGTTTTCTGGCCAAGTCCCTCTGCAGAGCAAGGTCAGCTTAGATTGTTGTGCTCGTGGCAGTTGTTCAGCTGAGCTTTGAGCACCACAAACGACAGATATTCCCCAGCCCCTCTGGACCTGTCTTCCAGTATTTGATTGGTTTCATTGTGAAAACGTTTTTCCTAATAGCGAACCAGAAATTCCTTTTTAGCAGCATGTCTGCATTGCCATTCATCCTGTCACTGGGCACTTCGGAGAAGACTGGCTTCGTCTTCTCTGTATTTTTCCATTAGGTAATTGAAGGCATCACTATGCCTTCAGCTCCCCTCTTCAGTATTCGCCCCTCCCCAGTGTTCTCTTAAGACTGAACAAACCCATTTCTTTCAGTGTCCGCCCCTTACATCATGTACCTTACAATCTTTCTGACACACTGCCCCCTTGATCTACTAGGTTAACATCTTTGGTGTATTGGGAGGCCCAAAACTGGAGTAGATGACATGATCGACATTTGCATCTGGGCATTTTTTACTCCTCAGTCCAAATTATTTTGCTTATTCTTAGCTGGTTTGTCTGAAGGTGGCTTTTTGAATAATTCAAGGGTCAGAGTCCTCTCCTCCTGAAATAACAAGATATCTTAACTACAGTGCTTAACATCTTACTGATGAGGGCTAAGAAACAGAACTGTTTACACCGGAAAAGCTATTTTCTAAGAGAATGCTTTGCATTAGTGATACTCTTGATTAAAATAGTTTAATTACAGTGGATCATGGTATAACCTGTTTTCACAAATGGCATAACTCAATACTTTTTATATCACCAC